TTAATCTCCTAAGGAGGAAGATGAGATCAGCTATTGGGAAGGTTCAGGGCCCCAGGTAATTCATGCTCAGATACTCCAGGGCAGGGCTGCAGAGACCCATCACTTGCTGGCATTTGTCCCTGCACACGAGTCAACGCCACATATTGGTCAAGGCCGTGTGCAGGGTCGGCACTGCTCCAGCTCCCTGTGGCTTTGTCCTGCAGGTGGACGTCCTCCTCCTTGGCCTGCACTCAGACTCTTCACCCTCACCTCCGGCCAGCTGGGTTAGGAGTTTGCTGCATGTATTCTTTTAATGACAGCACATAGGCTCAGACCACCTCGTTGGGCACCTGCCCTCATTTTACAGAGGGGTTGAGGTTCCAGGAGATAGTGTCCGCAGGTGGAGGTAGCTAAAGCCCCTCCGTCCTAAAGGGGCAGAGTAAAGGGAGGGTTTGGAATTGAGCCCGGTGACGTCCTCCCTCCTTCCCTGCCTCTCCTCCTTTCTTCCTTCCCTCCCTTCTTCCCTGCCTGCCTCTCCTCTCCCCAACTTCCTCCTCTCATTGTTCTTCCACTGCCCCCCCACCCTTTTTTTATTTCTTTTTTCCCTTAACCTTTGGGTCAATGGCCTGAGTCATTTCAGAAAGGTTAAGGCAGTGCCAGGCGATTCCAGGGTCTCAGTCGTGGGTGGGGTGCTGTTGGGTTATTGGAGGCAGGTAGTTGGCTCGGTTAGCCACTGTCGTAAGTGAAAAGGGGGTCTCGCCCTTTTGACTCAGAGTCCCTTTCTCATTTCCCAGGCCACTAAAACCTCCCCATCTCCCTTGGAAGTGCAGGGTTTAGTCATCGGAAGTTGGGTGGGAGCTGATGACTGGATTCCAGTAAATTCCTCTGCTTGTTGGGAAAGCCTCCGGATTCATGTCTCCTAGGAGACACCTGCAGTCACTTAGGAGCACGGTTCCAGACATGGCCCAGAGCCCCTAACTTTGGATCCAAAGTGGGATTTTAGACAGCCTGCATGAGAGGGAGGGTGGGTGCGAGTGGTGGGACTTGGATTAAGGACAGCAGGTGGGCTTGTGAGGTGCAGCCCACCCCACCGTCTCATGAGCAACCCCTAACCATATGCTCGCTCNCTTGTGAGGTGCAGCCCACCCCACCGTCTCATGAGCAACCCCTAACCATACGCTCGCTCACCCATCCTGGCCGGGCACTTACCACAGTCAGGTGCTAGGCTGGAGGCTGGGGAGAGACATTTAACAACCCCACCTCCACAGGACCTTTTTGTCTAGAGGGAGATGCAGACTTCTCAACAGGCACCACAGGGCTGCGTGCCAAGAGTGGTAGGAAATGCAGAGGCTCCCTGAGAATTCAAAGGACACGTGTCTCACTAGATGTGGGCATCAAGGGAAGCAGCCTGGAAGAAGGGGCCACAAAGCCAAATGAAGGGGCTGGGGAAGCAGGGAGAATGCCCAAACAGATGGGACAGCATGCTTGAAGTGAGAACCCCGGGCTTGTTTGGAGGAGTGACAAAAAGTTCGAATAATGGGGAGTTGGAGGAGGAGGGTGTGGTGACAAGGCCTGAGGCTGGAGAGGCAGATGGGGACTGAGGATGAAAGCCTTCCACTGGCTGTGCAGGGTTACGGCTCTTCCCCGGGATGCCAATAGAGCCGCTCGGAGACGGCAAACCGGTAGACAGAGGCCAGGCTTCTGAAGTGGTCCGGGTGGAGATGACCGTGGGCGGCACAGTGAAGGGGCATTGAAGAGCTGGAGGTGCTAGGCTGTGGACGGTGGGCTTGTTAAAGCAGCCTAGAGATTTCTTCGGCCATTTCCCAACTCCATGGTAGGATCTTAACTTGGCTTTCAGGGCCACTGCCTTGGGTTCGCAGGTGGGGAGGCCCTGGGATGCCTCCTGCCCCACCTTCTCGCTTTCTCTTAGAGGACCTCCCCTCCTGCCCTGCCTTCTTCAGCAGAGCACGCACAGTCAGCGGGCAGATAGTCATTTCTTTACCGTGTAGGAACTGGGGGGTATGCATAACTGAACGGCTGGGGCAACTCACAGGGGTAGGCTCAGCTCCCGGCGGATTAACCCATGCTCAAAGCCTAATGTCACCCCCTTTCTAACTAGCGGGCCCCTTCTGGCTTTAAGTTCTTACCAGACAAAGGGGCTCTGTGGTGTTGTGTTGAGATGTGCAATGTTGACATTCGAATTGGGGTTTGAGCCCTGGTCCTTCCGCTGCCTAGCTGTGTGACTTGGGTTAGCCAGCTAACTTGTGCCTCAGTTGCTGCACCTGTGGGACAGGGATAATCATGTGGGCTCTATCATAAGGTGCTTGTGAGGGTTCAGAGTAAAGTGCATAAAACTGGGCCTGATCTTCCACTTTCCGGAAGTCCTTTTCAGCTTCCCAGAACCCTGTCCTCTCCCAGCCACCTTCCCCAGGTCTTTTCCTCATCTGGGCCATTCCCTGGAGACCTGATACCTTCTCAGTACAGGCCTACTTGATAAGGAGTCTGGTGAAGGTTCTTTTCTTCCAGCGAAATTGAAAGCACTTAGGACATTTTGGACCTGTTGTGTAATCCTGGGCATGTTGGGGAATGGCTAATGGAGGTCAGTTAAGAAGGATCATTAGCCCTGGCTGGTTTCTCAGTGGTTAGAGCATCGGCCTGTGGACTGAAGGGTCCTGGGTTCGATTCCAGCCAAGGGCATGTTCATTGGCTGCAGTCTCCATCCCTGGGCTTGGTGTCGGGGTGGGTGTAGGAGGCAGCCAATCGATGTGTCTCTCACATGGCTGTTTCTCTCTCTCCCTCTTCCACTCTCTCTGAAAAGCAATGGAAAATTTCCTCGGGTGAAGATTAAAAAAAAAAAAGAAGGATAATTAGTTCAAAAAATTAGTCACTCAAGTAAAAAATATTTACTAAAAGTTTTTAAAAAGACATTTCTGAGAGAATTGGGAAATTGAAACCCTAACTGAATATTTGATATAAAAGGGTCAGTGTTAATTTTTTAAGTGTGGCTAAGTTAAAAAGGAGTTTTTGTCATATATGTGTACGTGTGTATTTATGGACAAACTGACCTGATGTCTGGGATTTGCTTAAAAATAATCTAGTGAGTGGGGTGGGGATGTAGATTAGTGAAGCAAGATTGGCTGATACATTGATAATTGAAACTATATGATGAGTCCATGAGCCTCCATTATACTGTTTATTTTTGACTATGATTGAAAGTGTCTGTCACAAAAACTCAAACATTTAAAAAATCCCATTGTTTTAAAGGCAGTTCAGGGACTGTTTCTCTATCTCCCTGGCATGATTGGGGGGAAGGTAGACGTGAAATTGGGGAAAATTGTTTTTCTCCCACCCCACGCCCACTGTCCATTGCTCTTGTCGGACCCTGGTCTGTGGGTGTCAGGAGGCCCCTAGACACTATTCCCTCCTGCACCGTTGCACCCGTAGTGAGGGGCCTAGAGGTCCAAGTTGGGTGCAGGGGGTCTCTGCCTTACTGTCCTTCTGTCCATCCCCAGACTGTCCTCTATGCAAAACCTCATCAGTCTCTTGTCAAGATTTAGAGATTCAAAGTCCTTCATAATCAATTATCAGGTAGTTATGATAACAACGACTTGTCAACAAACAGCACTACTTTGAAGGGTGGGGAAGGAACAGTGGAAAGGGCAGGGATGGTGAGAGAAGTACCTTTCCAGCCAGATACCACCCTGATGATTGATCCGAGAGGGAGGGACGGAAGAGGAGAGGTGAGGGTGAGGGAGGGTGAAATGCGCAGGGCCTGCCTGGGCCCCTTCCCCTGTTTGCGCTGACCTTGAGTGAGACAGGGCTCTTCCTCTTCCATAACCGTGGCATGGACAAGGGAGCGCCCCCCACCTCACTTTCCCGTAGCACCTTGGAGTGCACACCAGTAGGCAAAGTGTATCAACTTCGGGTAATCGCGCTTCAGGGGCTGCCTGTATCTGAACCTCACTGGTCTGTTCTCTTTCCTTCTGTTTCTCAGTCTCTTTTCTGGAGAGGTGGAACCGAACTCATGTTTTGTTCTGTGCTCTTCCTGCACTAGAGGTGACTGTGGTGTGAATCCCGTGGGGTAGAGTGCAGGCAACAGGCCCACAATGAGAGAAGGCCGAGGGGAGCCTGGGGCAGTAGTGGCAGATTGCGTCTGTCTGTCTGTCTCTTCTGCTGTGGCAGAGAACATGTCCATTCCCTCCTTTCCCATTGAGTATCTAGAATAGTGATTGGCACAGAGTGGCATTCAATAAATATTGATTGAATGAATGACTATATAATACAAAGTTAAACGTGAAGGGCCAATTTCATAGAAAAGTTAGGAAGATAGATTTAAGCTATATATTATTTATATTATTTAACTTATTCTAACACACCACTAATATAACATTCTAATATATACATAATATTCATTCATATATGAGAGCTCATTATGACAGGGAAGGCTCCTTCATTACTTTTTGGAATTAGTAGAGCCAGCCTTACAAGCCCTAAGGAGGGGAAAAACCTTCTACTATGTGACAGCAGAGCTGAAGAAGAGAATCCAGTGGGTGAGAAGTGAATGTTTGGTCTTCTGTAGAGAAATCTACAGTTCAGATAACTCCTTTTATCCATGAGAGAGTGGGATGTTCACAAATAATGTCTGAGACAGGTATTTCCATGTTCACTAATTGCAAAAAAAAACTAGCAAAAAATAGCAGGAATGCTGGAAGTTATTTGTGACATATTTTTTGAACTGAGACTCTGAACCCCCTCAACAGCACACTGGGTCCTCTAGCTTCAGGGTAAATATTAATATAGTTCAGCTGCGGGGAAGAACGCATGAGATTTGTTCCTTCCCTTCATCAGCCTTTAGGATTTGCCACAAGAGGTGGAGGAAAGTTAGTAGCTTTAGCTGATGTCGTAAGTTCATGGGCAAAACCTTGGCTGAACATATAGACTTTTTTCTGAATTTTTCTTGGTCCTCTGCGCCTGAGTCTGTCAGGACATTCACCCCCTGCCCCCACTTTGCTTTTATGCAGGAGCAGAATGACCACAACCCCTAGCACTTGCCGCAATGGCCTGAACCCCAGGTACTACAGACTTTGTGACACAGATGTAGTTTGGGGCATCGTCTTGGAAGCCGTGGCCGCGGTTGGGGCTGTGACCTCAGTGGCCTTCATGCTCGCTCTCCTGGCCCTCGTCTGCAAGGTGCAGGACTCCAACAAGCGGAAGATGCTCCCGGTCCAGTTCCTGTTCCTCCTGGGTGTGCTGGGGGTCTTCGGCCTCACCTTTGCCTTCATCATCAAACTGGACAGCAGCACGGGGCCCACGCGCTTCTTCCTCTTCGGTGTCCTCTTCTCCCTCTGCTTCTCCTGCCTCCTGGCTCACGCTTTCAACTTGACCAAGCTGGTCCGCGGCTGGAAGCCCCTGTCCATGATGGTGATGCTGGGCCTGGCCGTGGGCTTCAGCCTGGTGCAGGACGTCATCGCGATTGAGTATGTCGTCCTCACCATGAACAGGACCAATGCTGACATCTTCGCTGAGCTTTCTCCTCCTCGGCGCAATGAAGACTTTGTCATGCTGCTCATCTTTGTCCTCTTCTTGATGGCGCTGACCTTCCTCATGTCCTGCTTCACCTTCTGTGGGCCCTTCACTGGCTGGAAGAGACACGGGGCCCACATCTACCTCACCACGCTCCTCTCCATTGCCATCTGGGTGACCTGGATCACCTTGCTCTTGGTCACTCCTACCCCTGACACCGTGTGGGATGACACCATCCTCAGCTCAGCCTTGGTGGCCAACGGCTGGATTTTCCTGTTGGCTTATGTTGCACCCGAGTTTCACCTGCTTACGAAGCAACAGAACCCCATGGACTACCCTGTTGAGGATGCTTTTTGTAAACCTCAATTCATGAAGCAGAGCTATGGTGTGGAGAACAGAGCCTACACTCAAGAGGAAATCACTCAAGGTATAGAGCCTGGCTGGGTGGAGAGTCCTTTATAGAAAGATGGGGGAGAATCATAGGGTATTATAACTAGAAGGAACATGCAAGTTCATCCAGCTCATGCCCCTGACAGAACAGATAAGGTCTCCAAGGCTCAGATCCTGTTGAAAGTCATCCAGCTAGTTAACAGCGAGTAGGACTAGAAGCTGGCCTCTGGAGCTGTGTACTTTCTACACAATACCATGTAGTTGTCTCTGAATCAAAATAAGGTAAAGCAAAGGAATGGAAAAGTTCTTAGCGACAAATAGGTGAGACTGCATTCTTTATAAAAGATAAGTAAGGCTTGGCTGGTGTGGCTCAGTGGTTGAGCATTGACCTAGGATCCAGGAGATCGCAGTTCGATTCCTGGTCAGGGCACATGCAGGGGTTGTGGGCTCAATCCCCAGTTGGGGGCATGACAACTCTCTCATCACTGATGTTTCTATCTCTCTCTTTCCCTCTCCCTCCTTCTCTCTGAAATCAATAAAATAAAATAAAAAAGATAAGTAGGCATCCTTTCTGTGGGGCCTTCATATACTTGGGCGCATAAAGCCAAGCCATGATTTCCTGTAGTGACCACCGAGCACAGAGAGATAGAAAACCCTTTTATCATAAACCAGCGGAAATCTCCATAAAGTTACCAAGGATTCTGATTTAACTTGAAGAGCTATACTTTACTTCATGTGTCTGGGCCCACGGGAGGGAAGAGGTCATATCTGACATGAAAGAATGAACCGATTTTGCTCTTTCCTGGAGCTGTGAGCAGCCAGGTGTTCTGTTGTTGTCCTCGTGACAAAAAGAGGCTCAACTGATAGCCAGACACTGCCCTTGCCCATGGGGATCTGTTTGTTGGTCTCCAGGGTTTTCATTGATCTCTGGGCCTAATCAGGGCAGGGTAATGGGTTTGGGACAACAGTGAAGGGCCTCTGAGGCCAGGTTCTCAGCTGCCACTACCAATTTCTCTGCTCCTGAAGCCCGAGGTGCGGAGCTTCCTGGTGCTCCTCCCTGCAGCTGGGGGCCCTCTCCTGGGCACTTGGAAACCTAAAGGGGAGGAGGGCCCCAGGGGGTATTTTACCCACCCATCCCCTCCTGTCCATTTCCATGGCTTCACTCGTCACCTCACTGCCGAGACTCCCTGTTATCATTCCCTAACTGGTCTTCCTTCCTTCAACACTTCTTTCCATTCATTTTATGGGCCGCTGTCAGCCTGCTCTAAGATACTCCCCTGGCCACCATGCTTTGCTGGTCACCTACCTAACCAGCTCCTTGTGACCCACAACCTCGATCAAATCCATAGTTAGGCTTTTCACGGCCAGAACCCAACAGCTACGGAAGCTGAGCTCTCAGTCCAAACCAACCAACTCATTTTCCTGCTTCTGTGTCAGGCTCGGAGTGTCTGTCCTCTGCCTGACAGCTTTCCTTACTCTTGCCCTTTTCCAGAGTCAGCCATTCCCCAAGATTTGTCAGCATTCACTCCGCCCCAGCTTCTGTAGAACTCCGTGCTCTTATCAGTCCACCTCATTCCATGGCTATTTGTGAGCTGTCATATATTCCTTACTCTCTCTAGTCATCCTCAATACAGGAGTCATTCTGGTTAATCCTTATGTTCTTTACAACATCTTACATATAGAAGGTGTTTAGGTATTTATTGAGTAACTTGAACAGGTACATTTGGTGGGAAATAAATGGATTACTTTAAATTGTATCCATGATGACTGTATGTATCTACTCATCTGTTCCTTATCTTAAATCCTTCTGATTTTCCCCAAATCCATAGAAAACAGTGGCTCATCAATTCTGACCCTTTTTAATGAAAATAATAAAAACTCCCTCCCCCCTTGTTGGGCAGTTAAGGAAATAGGTAAATCCCAGTGAGGTTCACTCGAGGTATACCTCTGGCCAGATCTATATCTGAAAAGACTGGTTTCAAATGTGGTTTTGAAGTGGTCCCAGGATGAGGTGGGCTCTGGTGAGGCTTTGGACAGGTGTTTCCATAGTGATCATATGCTGCTAGTTACTCATTTATTCAGCCAATACGGTGTTTACTCTGTGCCTGGCCCTGGGCTTGAGGACACAGTATCTTCCCCGTGAAACTTACAGTCTCCCAGAGAGAAAACTCGGCGGATAACGCATCATGCTCTGGTAGACGACTCAGCGGGGAAGAGCCAGGTGGGTGCCCACGGGCAGGGGCCCTAATGCTGTAATTGCCCCTCTCCCTGTTTTAGGTCTTGAGGAGCCGGGCGATGCCACCTACGCCCCTTATACCACCCATTTTCAGCTGCAGGTAAGTGATCGCTCTCCTTTTCCATCAGCGGCCTCAGCACTCCAGGAACATGGTCCCTCAGGACTAGATGGTGTTGCCATTCTGATGGCCCCTAAATGGCCACCTTGAAAGGATGACAGGTCTGCTTTGCTGTCATCTGCCTTCTGGGGTTAGGGCAAGAGACTGGAGCGCAGGGCACAGGGAGGACTTTAGGGGGAGGGTCTGGGAGAAGGGGAAGAAAATGAGGTTCCTGCCCAGACGGAGGTTCTGTTGAAACACCTGGGAATGGGAGAGGGTTTCACAATATGGTGCTTCCTTTCTAGAACCGGACCTCCCAGAAGGATTTCTCCATTCCACGGGCCCAGACCCGGGTCAGCCCTTACAATGACTATGAAGGAAGAAAAAATGGCAGCTAGCTGTTCTGAAGAGTGGGATGAACACAGCGAGTCAGCAGGACTAATGGGGAGTTTGAAGGGATGTGGGCTGAATCCCGAGTCTTCTAAGGAAACCCTACAAAACATTTTGGGAAGACCCTACCTCCCTGCCAGCCTCAACCACTGTTCCTGTGCCCTGGAGTTGCGGGGGGCCAGCATGACCCAGTTCCTAGCAGCACTGTACTTTTCCTCCCTTGTCCCACACCCAGGATGCTTCTTCTAGGTGGGAGTCTTAGGAGACTCAGGGTCCCCCTCTTACTATTCCTTGTCACTTTACCTGTGACTAAAGCTCCCGTCATCTGACTGTACTGGCTCATTCAACTTCAGGAACCAAAACTCAGAGCTGGTTTTGTGAGGATTGCTTGGCCCAGAGCAGAACTGCAAATCTGAGCAAAAATAGCAAAGGGCTGTCTCTCAGCCCCTCCCTGCCTAAATCTACACTGGAAGCCAACTTACTGGCACCCTCCCTTCTTGCCTGGGTCGGAGAGGCTAAAGATCACCCTAAATGTGCTCATCTCTGTGGTGCTGCCTAACACAGGGCCTCTGTGGGTCCCCAGCACCAATCCACAGGCCCCCCTTCTCTCCTGGGATCACTCCTAAACTTGCTGTCAACACCCTCCAGCCCCTGAGACTAATCTCCCCAACATGTTTTACCAGGAGTTTTCCTTCTGGACCTCACTGGCGTGGGCAAACCCAGTCTCTCTCTGCCAGGAGCGTCTGTGTACTGTTCCCTCTCTGTTCCTGGCACTGATCCGAATCCCCGCCCCTGTGACTAGATTTGCACTGTGCTCACCTCCTGCATTCTGTGCGCTGCATTGTCTACAGAGAGGGAGTGCTCCTTGTATCATAAGTTATTCACCGTCCTTTACCTGGAGATGCAATAAAGACGTGGTGGCAACTCTTTCACGGTGGCAGCAGCAGAATGAGTGGCGGCCGTTAGTCATGTCGGAGCTGAAGTTCAAGGTTCGGTTCCACTGGGTGTGGACTTGACCCTTCTCCGTGTGTCTCTCCTCTTCTCCACATGTGTCTAAGACAAGTGTGTTTTCCTCAGTTTTTGAGGTGAGTGGCAGGGGTGAGAGGGGGAGCCAGGAGGGGTCACGGACCCTGAGGTTTTACTCCAGGAAGGCAGAGAGGTGGCAACCCTGGAATGGGGTTTGGTAGCCCAGGTAAGACAGGAAGGACACCTTAAAGCTAGTTTGACAATTCACCTGAGGTTTAATTGTAGGAGGAAATAATCCATTTCCTTTATTTGACAGAATTGGTTCATAATATCTCTCAGAAAAGACATGGTACACATGGTACCTAACAATTATTATTTACTTAATCCCCGAAACAGCTCTGTGGGGCAGGGCAATAGGAAATTGCTCTTTGATGAAGGAAAAAATAAGTCTCCATACACAGAAACGGAATGACATTAAAAACATGTAGCTGAGTTAGGGAGTTACCGCCCAAGAGCCTACTGTTCTGCTTTTCACCAAAAGGAAAGAGGTGAGGTATGGAAAGAGGTGAGGTGAGGTTGGAGGTGACTGGATGACACGCTGAATTAGGATACTTACCTTCCCCGAAGATTTGGCTGTTTCTCAATGGCTTTGCACCAACATTAGCCAAGTTTTGTATTGAAAAGGGGAATTACAAATAATAATTTATATCCTTCTAAACTATTCTAGTCTTTCCCAAGAGGGCATAACCCAGTGAGGAAAAAGCGATATAGCTTCACATATATTGTTTTGTCACAGTCTAGGAACTCAGGAAATACACATTTCCTTCCTTCTTTTCTTTCCTTCAGTCTCCAGCCTATCAACCAAGCAAAGGGGGCTGAGTAAAATGTAGAGCCGCAAAATACTCTGGATCTGCTTTCTTATTAGAGAAAAGAGTCTCCAGGCCTTTGTATCCCCATGACTGCAGTTCTCAAGTCAAGCTCTTCCAAAACAGGAGAGGACATGGAAAGGAACCTGTTGCCAGAAATTGGTTTCTTCCTTTTTATTTATTTTTTTAATATCCTTACCCAAGGATATGTTTTTATTGATTTTAGAGAGAGAAACACTGACGTGAGAAACATTGATTGGCTGCCTCTCATGCACCCCAACTGGGACTGAACCCACAACCTAGGTATGTGCCCTGACTGGGAATCGAACCCTCAGCCTTTTGGTGTACGGGACNACCTAGGTATGTGCCCTGACTGGGAATCGAACCCTCAACCTTTTGGTGTACGGGATGACTCTCCAACCAAGCGAGGCACACCCTGGCCAGGGCGGAAATTGGTCTCTTTTCTAAGAAATAAAGTGGCCTCCAGGGTTTGGACAAGTAGGCCATCATCTCGCTGAGTTTTTGTTCTTGAAAGGGAGTGAAGAAGGCTCTCTATTCAACCACACTTGTCATCCCCCATGACTGCTAAGCTGTCGCCGGGTCTTATGCCTCCTGCACATAATTAAACTCAGTTGTCAAACTGGGAACATCTCGGGGCTGGAGGTCTTGGCCTCTGAAAGTCACTGTGATGATACTGGGGAAGAGAGTTTCCCGGTCAGTCCTGCAAGTCTCCATCGCCACCTGGGCTGCAAGTAGAATTTGCAAATTTAGCCCAGCCTGGTCCTTGAGCGAAGCCAATTGACTGATGGCTGGTGACCAAGATGGCATCTCGTTTGAACTAAATGGATGATAATAAAATGAAGCTCACAACCTTTCTCTCAGTTTTCATTGTCAGATGATAAATAGACAGCACCTCACCTCTGCCTCTCGCTTTAGGCCGAGTGAGCCCACAGCTGCCATACTGCACGGTTCCACTTGATGGCGGTAAAACCTCAGGCATCAGCCCTCAAGGACGCAGCGCCTCTGAAAAGCAAACCTCTAAAGCTGCTTTCCGTGAAGGGCGTGAGGCAGAACAGCAGATACTCAGTGGGCTCGAGGCAAACGCGTCCCATTTTAAAAGGCTTGTGTGTATGAGCTGTTTGCATCCTTCCTCGCACCATCTTTAGAGAATTTGCTCCTGATCTTCTCTGCCAGACTTTAATTGCCCTGTGCCTTATTTTTGCGAAATTCTCCAGAGTATTTCCAGCCCAATTGCATGCAATCTGGCATCTTTACTGAAACTGGTCTCATATGCTGTTGTTAGCAATATCAATGAGTATTTTTGTGGTGGGAACATTGGCTTTGTGTCAGGAAAAGTGTGCCAAAACAAAGAGTACAGCCTGGCCCTGGAAACGCAGCAATAACACCCATTCTTCCCCCTCCCAGTGCATTCTGGGTTTCCTTCCTTCCTTTCCAGACTTGTCCTTACTGCTGAGAACTGAGCTGCACGCAACCTATCTTCTCCTTTCTTGCCCATGTCCTTATGTTGCTACCAGGGTTTGCAGGTTTGCCCCTGTCCCAGCCCCAGTCTGAAGCAGGAGTCTTTCAGAACTGGAGGTGGTGGCTTCAGAAAAACCTTCTTTACTGTTGACTGCTGAGATCCAGGACCTGGCAAGTCAACCTCCAGCTTGTAGACTGTTGCCTTGGGAAACTGTCTGGTCCAACCTTGGGCCTTCTCTGGAACCTCTTCTACCCAGGGCAGACAATGCTTTGCCCTCCCTGGTTTCAGGATGTTTCAGGCTTGCAGATGAGTGTGAGTAGCAGTATATCAGTGTCTGGTCCTGTTTTCTGCAACCTCCAGATTGCTACAATTTTCTCAACCCTTCAGAGTGGGACACTCCAGTGCTTAAAATGTTAGCATCTGAGAAGGTCATGGAGCTTCTTTAGTTGGTGCCTCACAGCCCTCACATTACAGAGAAGGAAACTCAGGCCTAATGGACGTAATAAAATTGGGACCAGATTTCTAGTTCTGTGTTCTGCCTACTGTCGACACTTGGGAGGTCACTGTTAGACACATTTTTCCAAAAGAGTGTTTGAGTAAAGAATCAGACAAAGTGACCATGGTTACTCATATTTTAAATTCCTCTCATTTTCCTTTGTCTTCCCAATTGCCTTTTGTTCCTCTGATTTCTCCTCCAATGATCTTCTCTCCCCGCATGTAAACTGTGGGTAGAGGGATTGGAGGAAGATTGACATTTTCTGGTTAAACCACGGATCACTGTCCTTTAACCCCCAAGCCAAATGAGCATCTGCCTTTTGAGGGAGTGGGCTGTCAAAAGGATTTCAAGGCAAAAAAGAGTTCTTCATTTTCCCAGCCAGGGTGATAACCCTCCCACTTCTCTGAGTCCCATATGGAGTCAAAAAACCATATCCAGCACCTCTTCCTTTCTTTTGTGTGGAGTTATAGTCCCCCCAACCCAAGGGCAGTCTCAGTCCTTGTGCAGTTTCTGATGGCCGATTTCAGAGGCAGTCCTCAGAAAAACTTTGCAAGTAACTGTTGTGTGTAATGACCTGAGCCATGTGTCTCAAGCACCAGATTCAACCACTATCTTAAACAGAAGAGGAAGGTTTAATGGAATTTGGTTACCACATGTGCAACACCCAACCCCCTTCCATATTAAGATTCACCAATTCATTAAAAAAACACAAAACAAAACTCTGATAAGCCCATGCAGCTATCCCTTGAGCTCTGGAACATTGTGGTAGGGTCTAGCGTCATACTATACCCTGTTATGCAAAACTAACAGAAACCCAGGTCCAGCTGCCTGCTGCAATGAAAGCCAAACTCGTGAGACAGGTGCTGGTGAAAAAGGAAGGAGGTTTATTCAGGCACTGGTCACCTGAGAAGATGGGGGACTCTTGTCTAAAGCCCATCTCACCACCTCAGTGAAGGCAGTGGTTTTTATAAGGAAGGAGAGGGAAGGTTAAAAAGTTCCCTACATTTAGACCATCACAGTCCATTCCAATAAGGACCTTGAAACTGGTCAAGTGATGGTTTGGTGTGCATTATCCTGGCTTTCTGGCTGAAGGTCAGCAATTCTCCTAGAGCTGAGATGACTGAAGGTCAAAGTCTGTGTCTCCTGGAGTTAGTTCCTAGGATTCTTATACAAACATGCTCTTTATCTACAAGTCACACATTAATCAGAGTCAGCATTTACAGAAACAATGTCAAAAGAATGGTGGGGTGGGTTATAATTTTCCACTGTTACAAAGCTACTAGTTTTCTCTCTCTAAGAAAGAATAATTCCAGGTCAACTATTTTTACCCACAAGGAATTGAAATAGAAAAAGCATCTATTGATTCTAGCACGATATCTTTATGAAAAAGGCAAGGATAATGATAACAGAGTTAGGAGGTCATGAGTCAAACATCCAAGAAGAGATCACTTATTAGATGGAGGCTTCTAATGGTTTCCCATAGGGCTCTGTCTTTAGATCTGCTTGGATTACATTTTTATTGACCACTTGGACAAAAATAACATCAAAGTTCACACATGACACAAAATTGGGGAAGATTGACTAATAAAACCAGAATAAAATGTATTGCAATAGACTAGAATAAAGGTCCCAAACCAATAATTTATTTTAATACTTATAAATGTATTCATGCCCCCCAAAATAAATTCCATAAATACAGTTTGGAAAGGCTTGGTTTGACAGCAGTTTTAGGTGTCTGTAAGACTGATAAGTCCAGTGATGTGGCTCAGCAGGCAAAAAGCCAATGCAGTCTCAGGCAGCACTGCTACAGCTGTGTAGTGTAGGTCAAGGCAGGAGCTGTTCCCACCGAATTGGAGGCACGTTACACCACATCAGAATGTTAAGTCTACTTCTCTGGATCTCATGAGCTTCTCACAGAGCAGCTCGTTTTAGAACTATTTGGCCCTTCAGAGTGATACACAGAACGGTTGATGGAAATGGAAATATTTCATCTGGAGAGGAGAAGACTCTGCAGAGTGTGTTATCATTATCACAGCTAATATTTATTGTGTGCTTACTCTGTGCTAGGACCCATTTTTAAGGGCTTTACTTGTATAATATTATTTAATACTTATAAAAACCC